GAATTAGGTTTATTGCCAAGTATGATGAAATATAAAAATCACACAAAAGTAAAGGACTTTTTATTTTATCATATGTTAGCTTTCAGGATAAATGTATTGGTGAATGCCCTAATGTAGCCACAATGTGAATTTGTCTCCTTTATTCAAAGTTTCAGCAATCAAGCCTCCTCCCAACCCCCTGACCACACACACACACAGCACACACACAACACACACGACAACACCAGAGCTCCTGCTCCCTCTCTCTTTTCTGGAGAATGAAAGCAGCATGCACGAGCAGACCTGTGAATGAAATGCATCAGTGGAAAATGGTGGGGGGAGCCTTTTCCTCAGCCAGCGTGTTGTTCCATCTCTGCACTGGGTTGTGTGTGTGTGTGTGTTCCATTCTGACATATTAATCTTGACTAAATCTTGGCTGTGTGGCATGCTAAACCAGCAACACACCAGTGAATTCATGGCTGTCGATTATGCACAGAGACGAACATCGAGTCAAATCAGCTCATTGTCAGCTGCTGCGAATCTAAAAGCATATCTGTGTTCTAAAAGACCCGACAGGAAGTGGATGCCAAGTGACTGACTGCTGTACATTCAGCACAGGCATGTATTAATAAAATGTTCAACTTTCCCTTTTCTTTCTCCCTCCCTGTCTTTGTCAGGACGCTTTCCAAAAACCTGGTGAAGAGCGCCAAGAGGACCATCGGCCGGCAGTATGTGACCAGGAAGAAGTATTCTCCCCCCACCTGGGAGAACAGGAGCAGCTTCCAGTCAGAGCTGGATGAGGATGAAATCTCAGGTTAGCCCAGTTTAAGCCTCTTTTCAGGCCTTCTCAGATTTTTACGTTGTCATATATTTATTGTGCGAAATGTCCAAACTGAGAAGAACTCCAATGAGGTTCCCTGCTCACCTGTGGTCTTCACAACCCTGTTGTCCTGTGTGTCTCCACAGTTTCAGAGGAGGTGGACCAGAGCTCCCTCACCCTCTCCTCCACCATTCGCTCATCGGACAGGCAGACCATGAGCAACGTTGTGGAGCGCGCCTGTTGCCGCGACTACCAGCGCTTGGGACTGGGCACGCTCAGTAACAGCCTGACGCGTTCTAAGAACGAGCCTTTCAGGATTTCCACCGTCAACCGCATGTACACTGTCTGCAGGAGGTGAGTGACCGCTGGAGGACAACACACAGATGAGGAGCAAGAAGTGGGAGTCATATATGGACAGTATCTCCTCACTGTTTAATACACTGTGTGTGTGTGTGTGTCTGTGTCTGTGTCACAGCTACCCCGGCCTGCTGATTGTGCCTCAGAGCATCCCAGACACAACCATCCAGAGAATCTGCCGCTGCTACCGGCAGAATCGCTTCCCCGTGGTTTGCTGGAGGAATTCACGAACCAAGGCGGTCCTGCTGCGGTCTGCAGGACTCCACGCAAAGGGGGTAGTGGGCTTCTTCTCGAAGTCCCCGAATGCCCCTACTTCAGGTGAACAACCAAAATCTATAGTGTTGAACCTTATTGTTACCAGGGATTGTTGCTGGTTATTGGTTCCGCTCATTTCAGAGGAGGAGTGGCCTGTAGTGGGGTCAGAGGTCATGATTATAAACTGTTACTCTGACCCTAGTGATCAAAGATGCAAGAGATAGGGAGAGTACATATTTTTGTCAAGAACTGCAGTCGTAGCTGAAATGTACCTGAAAAACGCATTGCTTAAGGGAACCATAAAGGTTTCTGATGCCTTTCGTTCTCCACGCAGTTCCCTCCCAGGCAGACTCCACCAGTCTGGAGCAGGAGAAATACCTGCAGGCCATCATCAGCTCCATGCCTTCTTACAGCGACAGCAGCGGCAGGAACACACTCAGCGGCTTCACCTCCACACATATGAGCACCTCCGGTGAGTGAACGCACACTGACCCACTGCTCACTGGGATTGTGGGGGGGGGGTCACAGAGTTGATGATTTCTTCTGTCCACAGACTCCTCAGATAAGCTGAGGCAGCCCAAGATTGGCGCTCTGATGAAGCAGGTGATGGGCACCAAGGACGATGTTCCTGGAACCTTCAGCAGAGGAGGTGAGACACGTCTGTGTGTGTGTCTCCACATTGCTCCTGTAGTTAATGTTAACTTTAGTTACAGTCCTGGTTTCAATACAAACTGTGTGAATTATAGATTTATCTACTGAAACTGGGACCAGGAGGATGATGAATGAGTTAATGCATCCCTTGTAGCTGTAGTGTGTGTGTGTGTGTGTGAGAGAGTGTGTGTGAGAGTGTGTGTGTGTGTGAGAGTGTGTGTGTGAGAGTGTGTGTGTGTTACAGTGTG